ATAGTTCATAAAATTTCCCATATATCATCACACTAAAATAAAGAACACTGTCTGCTGTCCAAATTGCCACTAACCATCAAAATTACCCTCTTTGGGACTTTCCCTTTTTTGAAAGGATACTTATAATTACTTTAGTTTGACTTTACTGAGACTGGTATGTTTCAGTTTGGGATTTTGGAAAGGCTTACCCCAAGTACATCATTCTTTTCACTAGATACTCCAAATTGTAAGTGTTCATTTGCCTAACCTAGAGTTAACGAGTATATCCTACCTACTTGAGATAGTTCTGTATACTGAAGGTATAGCAATAAATAAGTTACATGATTTTCCCATCCTAGTGGAGTTTTTAATTCTTGTAGGAGACAGAGGCAATGTGCAATAAATGATTTAGATGATGATGGCAATAGTGATAGATGGATAGATAGATTATAGATAGATGATAGATAGATAGATAGATGATAGATAGATAGATAGATAGATAGATAGATGATGATAGATAGATAGATAGATAGATAGATAGATAGATGATAGATAGATAGATGATAGATAGATAGAGACACACAGGCAGGTGGTTGTGTGTGTTACATAAAAGAATAAAGCATGTTAAAGGATAGAAGTAGGTATGTAATAGGGAAGAGAGTAATGAGAGTGGACAGTGAAATATGTCTATATCAAAAAGACTGCAGACTTAATGTAAAATGCTAAATTATAAAATTCCTAGAAGACAATATAGGAGAAAATCTGTCAGTTTGTGATGGCTTTTTTAGATACAACACCAAAGGCACAATCCATGAAAGAAAAAACTGATTAGCTAAACTTCATTATAATAAAAAGATCTGCTCTGTGAAAGACACTGTTTAGAGAACAAAAGGGAGAAAATATTTAGAAAATACATACCTGATAAAAGATAATTTTGGGGGAGGATTGTATTTACTTATTCGTAAGAGACTTAGAGAGAGGCAGGGACACAAGCAGAGGAAGAAGCAGGCTCCCTGCAGGGAGCCTGATGCAGCACTCGATCCCAGGACCCTGGGATCATGACATGAGCCAAACACAGATGCTCAACTGCTGAGCCACCCAGGTGCCCCCAAGAATTGTTATATAAAACATATGAAGAACTTGTAAAACTCAATAATCAGGTAAACAAGCCACCTGATTAAAATATAAGCCAAATACCTTAACAGATACATCACCAAAGAAGATAGTCAGCTGGCAAATAAGCAAATGAAAAATGTTCCACATTATATGACATCAGGGAAATGCAAATCGAAACAACAGTGAGATACCATTACATACTTATTAGAATGACCAAAATCTAAGACGATGATAACACAAGATTTAGAATGACCAAAATCTAAGGCAATGATAACACAAGATGCTTGGGAGGGTATGGAGCTATAGGAACTCTCATTTATTGCTAGTGGGAATACAGAATGGTACAGCCATTATAGAAGACAGATTAGAGGTTTCTTTTGTATGTGCATGCTACCTATATCTATATGACACTCAAAAAGCTGTGCAAATTTAATGTATGCAATTTGATGACTTGATGGTTTGGAGATAGGTATACACATATACATCTATGAAACTATCACCACAATCTATACCATAAAAATATATCCATATCCTCCAAAAGTTTCCTTCCACTCTTTTCATATATTATCATCATTTGTATGATAAGAAAACTTAATATAAGATCCCTTTTTATCAATTTTTTAGGCATAAAATACTTGTATTGTCAGAAAACTAAACATTGTTATCATACAATCCAGCAATTTCACTCAATGGTATTTTCTCAAATAAGTCAAAAACATATGTCCTTGCAAAAACCTGCACATGAATGTTTATAGCATCTTTATTCACAGTTGTGAAAATTTAGAATCAACTAAGATGTCTTTTGGTAGGTGAATAGATAAATAATTTGTGGTACATCTAGACAATGTAATATTCAGCGCTAAAGAGAAATGAGCTATCAAGCCATGTAAGGATTAAATGCATATGACTAAATGAAAGAATCCAGCCTTAAAAAGCTATCTATTCCATTATTTCAGCTGTATGACTCTGGAGAGTGGTCGCCAGACATAAAAGGGAAGGATAGGATGAAACAGTAAAGCACAGAGGATTTTTAGGGCAAAGAAATTACTCTGTATGATACTATAATGGTTGATATACATCATTATACATTTAAAAGAATCCACAGAATGAATACCACCAGGAGTGAACACTAATATGAATTATGTCTTTTGGGTGATGATGATATGTCAACATAAGCTTATCAATTATAACAAAATATACTACTATGGTGACAGATATTGATAAATGGGAGGAAGCTATGTGTTTTGGGTTATAGGGGATAAGTGGGAAATCTCTGCACCTTCTCAACAGTTTTTTTGTGAACCGAAAAATCCTCTAAAATAAAGTATGTTTTGAACGTCAGGAAAGGTAAAATTTAAGCTGAGAGTAAATACTTTGGAGTCAGAAATACAAAGTTCTAGGATTGTGTTATAAGCAGAGGAAACAAGTGTAAAGCTTTGAAGTTGTAATGATTCGTATAGTTAAATATAGAAAGAAATCCAGTGTGACAAGAGCATGGTAGATACTTTTGCTACCACATGAAGGCAGGTAAGTAGTCAGAAACCAGATCATTAAAGGCTTTATAAGCTAGTGCAGATGAAAACTTGTGCTGCATATGACATCAGTCCACTAGAAGATTTAGAGTAATGCAAAAACTTGATTTCGGTGTTGAGAATGGGATGTTGGGTGGTGGTGAGAGATGATGTAGGTGGCTTTATTGCATTTAGGGGTCTTTGAGATTTCTAAGTGTAATATAATGGCTGATTGGACTTCTAGTGTAGATAGAAATGGAATGAAGTAGACCAATTCAAATATTTTAGTGGTAGCCAGGCAGGACTTAATAATAGATAAACATGGTGGGGAAAAAAAACAAAGAATTATGAATGACCCATGGATTTTTTTATTGAGTCACAAGTTAGATGCTAGTATCATTTACTGATTTGGTGAAAACCTAAGGGAAGACAGGTTTGGGTGGAGAGGTATTGAGTTCTTTTGGGGATATATTGATTTTGAGATGTCTGGAAGACAGTCAAGCAGATGCTTTAACTTAATATTTGGACACATGATTTTGGAACTAAGTGGAAAATTCAGTCCTAGATTTTAAATGTAGGATTCAACAGAAGAATAATGATGTATAAAGCCATGGAAATGGAATGGAATAATTTTAGAGGAATATATAGACAGAAAAGAGGGACTAGGATTGGAACTCCAAGGGGCTGGGGGAACCATCATGCATTTCAGTAGAATGGTAAAGGTAGGAGCTCAATTATTCTTACAGGATACATTGAATTTTAATCTAAAACTTGACTTTTTAATACCATGTTAGAAAATAATCTAAGGGCTTTTTTTTAGAGGAATAAAAAAATTTTAAATGATTCCCTAAATCCTTAGAGAGATGCTAACATTTCCAGAAAATTATGAAAATCTGAATATAGAATTTTACTATAAGCAGAGGAAGAGGAAGAATGAGTTTCCTGGAAGAGGGAGAAAACAGTGAGACAGGACTTGACTGTCATTACGGCTGATTTAGATCTGCAAGGTAGGGCCACAAGGATACGTAAATTACAAATGGCCATGAATCGTTCAGTAGTTGGTGTAGGGAAACAGGGGCCAATGTTTAAAGAGAAGGTCACACAATTATATCTCATTATTCATAGAAAGCTAGTTCTTGAAGGCATGTGGAATTAGAAGTATCGAGGAAAAGCTTTATTTTGCATCCGGAATTTATATTGGGAGGGATAAAGGGAGAGAAAATCATTTAGCAAGTTCTGCAACAATGTTTATCTGAAAAAGATGTTAAAAGATCTAATTGCTACTAATTGGATATTGGAAGAATTTTGCATTTTGCTTTATGTTGCTTTTTATTTTTCTTCACATTAATAGGACTTATGGATCACAAGAGAGTTTAATATAGTTATAAAGATACAAAGTTAATAGTTTGCACATCTAAATAATATGTAGATGCTTTCACTCTGTTAGGCTCTGTTGAATTCTGGCTAATTTGATTTTGCATATGTATTAGCAATTTATCAGCCATCTCCTTAATATGTATTGTTTAAATATGCACCTGTCTTGAATGGAGAGAAGTTGGCTACTATTTTCTGCCTGAAGAAAAAAAAATTCTTGGTAAGTAAGTGTTAAAGTTATCATGTATCATAAACCAGTCTCATCTCTCATGAAAAATCTACTTTTTCATTAATACTTTTAACATCTTCATTCTTGTAGTATTCTCACCAAATTTCCCAGTTATTGTGAATGAGAAAGCACAAAGTAAGTGCTACTTCATTCTACCAAATCCCAGTAAAAATGTAGTCAGCAGATTACACAGATTTTTCTAAGAATGGTAGACTTCAATTCAAACTTTAAATTGACTCAAGCATTGTTTAATCTTATTTGGCTTAAAATAAAACAAAACTAACTTACCAAGTATGTTTATTTTGGCTTGAAAATGGAACATTTAACATCCATCAACCTGGTTGTGGTTATTTATACTTCAGAGATGGTGGTATGGGTTCACAAGGAAATAATAGGTTTTCTTTCTTTCTTTCTTTTTTGAAGAATGTATTTAATTTGTATTTGTATTTATTTTAAAGTAGAGTTCCTTAAATTTTCCTGACTTCCTCTCATTACTCCTGTGATTATTTATTTAAATTTGTGGATGCAGCTTGAGACTGTTTGATTCCATAGATGGAACATCTGCCTCCTTGAATTTTTTTGAAGTCTTGATTGATTTTTTTTTGTATCGACAGATTGTGTCATTAACTCCTACATCCTGATTTGAATATTATTCTTTGAACCTTTCTAGGGACCTTTCATTGAATCTTTCATATCTCCAAACTTAGCATAAGTATCCTCCAAGTCCTTAAATGAACCATTGCTTAATTTTTCATATTTCTTACATTTTTATACTTGTCTGAGTCTTTCTGTGTATTCTTCTTCTTTTTTTTCTGTGTATTCTTCTTTGCTTCATTTTAAAAATTATTTGATTAATTCTTTGAATCCCCCTGTCACTCATATTCAGTTTCAGACTACTAAAATTGTTTATCAAATACTTTCGAATTATTATCCAGGGGTTACTTCTTCTTTGCATCCTTCTTCTTTGCATCTTTCTTTGCATCAGCAGATTCTGTGTCAGTATCTTTCTTGCCATCCTTCTTGCCATCCTTCTTAGATCCCTTTTTGGCCCCCTTCTTGGCATCATCCTTTGTTTCTATATCTGTCCCACTGGCCTTCTTTTCATCTTTCTTATCTTTTTTACTCCCCTTTTTCTTTGTATCTTTCTTGGGACCCTTCTTGTCTTTTGACTGATCATCTTTCTCTCCTAGTTTCTTTGAATCTTTTTTCCCATCCTTATCCATCTTTGCATCTTTCTTTTCATCTTCAGATTCTACAGTTGACCCTTTGCTCTTCTTTGAACCTTTCTTCTCTTTCTTGGCATCTTTCTTGGCATCTTTCTTTTCATCTTCAGATTCTGTAGCAGACCCCTTGCTCTTCTTTGAACCTTTCTTCTCTTTCTTGGCATCTTTCTTCATATCTTTCTTTTCATCTTCAGATTCTGTAGCAGACCCCTTGCCCTTCTTTGAAGCTTTCCTCTCTTTCTTGGGACCTTTCTTTTCATCTTCAGATTCTGTAGCAGACCCCTTGCCCTTCTTTGAAGCTTTCCTCTCTTTCTTGGGACCTTTCTTTTCATCTTCAGATTCTGTAGCAGACTCCTTGCCCTTCTTTGAAGCTTTCCTCTCTTTCTTGGGACCTTTCTTTTCATCTTCAGATTCTGTAGCAGACTCCTTGCCCTTCTTTGAAGATTTCCTCTCTTTCTTGGGACCTTTCTTTTCATCTTCAGATTCTGTAGCAGACTCCTTGCCCTTCTTTGAAGCTTTCTTCTCTTTCATGGCACCTTTCTTTTCATCTTCAGATTCTGTACCTGATTGCTTGCCCTTTTTTGAATCTTTTTTTTCTTTTTTGGCATCTGTTTTTGCAACATCCTTTTCACCTTTAGTTCCTCTTTCTATATCCCTATCTTTCGTTGGCTCTCTCTTAGTAATTTTTGGCTCCTTTAAAACTGTGGATTCTGTTTCTGATTCTAATTTGTCCTTGTGTGCTTGCTTGTCTTCTTTATCTTTCTTACCTGCTATTGGAGATGTAGGTTTTTCTACATCTGCTACTTTAGCATCTTCCTTCCATTTATATGATTTATATGGAGGCTGACTCCTGGCAGCTAAATAATCAGATGGCCTCTCAGAAATTCTCATTAAAGAACTATGCATCCATAATGGTCGTTTAGAAGCTTCTTTTAATTTATCTGCATCATATACCTAGAATATTGGTTAGAATAATAATCATTAACAACCTGTATGTGAATTACACAGCTTTTATTACCACATACCAAATACATTTTAACTTTGACCATTAAAAGATTTTAGATTTTGATAAATAGTGGATAAAGTGTAGATGTCATAGTGTATTCTGCTTTTCCAATTTCATTCTTTTTTGGACTAATGGATAGTCATGTCTCATTGTGGGCCTTATTTCAATTTAGAGGATTTTCAAAATTCCCTCAAGATATTATGTTAAAATGGGTAGAGAAAAAAAACGGGTAGAGACCTCCACTGACTAATGACATCAGAATCTCTCTTCACAATCAAGAGAGGCCTTCCCCTCCCCCCCCCAGTGTTCTCAAGTAGTATTAGAATATCTTGCCCACTTTTTATTCCTAGGCTAAATCAGAAAATAATCATTCTCTAATATGTAATAGTTTTATGTTTAGGCATATCCTGGTCTCTGTTATCAGATTCAGGGTCTCTGGAATTTGGAATACTATGCATAATTAAAAGTAAAAACATGAAACTCCTGCTTAGCAAGATATAAATTGAGTATCATCAGATAGAAAACTATGATAATAAAGCTGTAACATTCAATGCACATAAAATTGTACAGAATGGTACATTTTGTTTTCAACTCCTAACCAAGTATTTACAAAAATCTTAATTGCAGAAGCAGCAAACTTAAGAACTAATGTTAACAAATAATGGAGAAAATAAATTGAATAAAGAAGGGAAAAGCAAAGAGTGTGAGATAACAGAATAAGCTAGGACCACTACTGAATGGAAACGCTCCCTAAAATAAATAAGAGTTGATGATAAATTTATCTTGTGAAACTTTTTTTAAACATTTCATATCCCTTGATGACTCTAGGAAACATTGAGAAATACTTATCTTCTAATATTCAGAATCCTGAATGCTATACTACAGAAAATGAGAAAGAATTAAAACTTCATCAAGGTATAATATAACCCCATGATTATAATGAGTGATTTTTTTTTCCAGCTGGGGGACATTTTCGGAATGTTAATACTAATTGTAGTATTAGGATCTCCAGATTTTTGTGCTTGTTGAACACATATTTTCTATAATGTGGGGCTACTAAATAAATAGTTAATATGAAATAAGGGGCAGTGTTTATACAGTGAAATGCAAATAAAATATATCTACTCTCTTCAAGTGTAGAATTTGAATTACCTTTAACTGTGCTGTCCAATATGGTATTTAAAAGCCACAAGAGAACTGAATTAAATTGAATTGAGATGTAAAATTCAATTCTTCAGTTTCACTAGCCTCATATTAAGTGTTCAATAGAACACATTGGAATGCAAAGACATAAAATATTTCCATCATCACAGAAATCCCATTGGTCAGTGCTGATCTGTAACACATATAATTATACATGATTTCACAAGCTTAGCACTAGTAAAATGATATCATCTTTTCAATACTCACGAAAACTGTATTGTCTCGTAGTTGGGATGGTTTTGATCTCCTTTTTTTTCCTGGCCGTGGTGGTTTGGGAAATCTCAGGGCAAAGTGTTGCTGATTCCATGACTTTTTGCTTAATTCACTGACTAAAATCAGAAAACATTAAATGTTTTAGAGTAAATAGTATTTCATCAGCTCTAAAATGGCAGTATGATAATAGATTTCATGAATGAACAAATGATACAAATTATGGTTTCATTTATTTAGTTAGGTTTTAAATTCTCTGCTATCAACATGTGAAAGTAAAAATAGTTTTTTTCTATTTGATCAGTTTTATAGAAAACTACATAGTCATTGTGAAACTAATATAGTCTGTAATATAAATGCAAAGAAATATCTTTACTGCTTTCTTTTAATCTTTCTCTTCTAGTCTATATTTTTGCTTTAGATTCCTTTGGTTAGAATACAATTCTTTTGAGATGAGAAAATATGATAGCTAATTTTGTAGCCTCTAAAGTACTTAGTATTAGTATAGACAGTACCTGTTATAGTCAGTAAATATATGATTGAATCTAAATGCTAATGAATACGATTCCTTTGGTTAGTAATCATTTTCCAAGCTATAAGAGTCAATGTTATACACATAAGAACTGCATTGTTGTAGTAAGTGACATATTAATGAAGAAAACTGCAAATAAGAATTGTGACCGTGAGGGACAAGTTACCTGGAAACTATAAGAGAAATGTTTAAAGATATTTAGCATACAAATGAGACCAATGAGAGAGAGATTTTCACTTCCTTTAAATATGTGCAGTATTGAAGTATTACTTCTTGTAAGAGAAAATATACTTTCCTGTGAGTCTCCTGAAGACAGGAACAATGAAAAAATATACAGAATTAAACGCATATTTAAACTCAATATATGAAGTAAATTGTCCAATATGTGAGTTCCTTCAACATCAGATTGGTGAATTTGTGGCCAACTATAAGAGGATTATAGTTTATCATGAATGTACTAGAAGTCATTGCAGACATGAATGAATTGTTCATCCAGTTTCTACACTACTTTTCAAGTGTAAGATTATCTGATTGTTTGATTTCTAACATGACAACACCTTTATGTTGCTGAACATATTTGCTTAAACTTTGTTGGATTCAAGAACAAAATATCTTTAGAAAGTGTTTCCTAAAGGTCCGTGAGAAAGCTGATTTTTAATAATATTCCATAAGATCTACTGCTTTATCACTTTGAATAGAGGATAATAATCAGTTATCCTTAAAAGTAATTATAATCCTAAAATCAATCATGTTAAGAAATAAATATTAATACTCTCTTACCTGGAATGTAATTATCATATGTTCCAAAGTTTATTTTTTGGCTATTAAAATAAGAGGGGAAAGCTTTAATTAATTTACATAAATTCACTGTATTTAATGATTATTGTTATGTGTAAGCATTTGCCATTACCAACTACAGAAATATTTTGTATTCTCAGATCTCTACTATTATGTAAAATTACGTCATCCTAAAAAAATAGATGAGTAAATGTGTGTTTTTAGCACGAACTTCAATATAACTAAAACAAAGTAGATAAAAACATTTTAAAAATTACCAAATTGCCATTTCTGAAGTGTAGACCTTTTAAAAAAAATTGTGAATTCATGGGTGAATTATTTTTCTCTATCTCATATTCCAAATTCTCTTCCAATTGAATTTTAGCAAAGACATCACTTTAAAAACACTGCTTAAGCAAAATCAGATCCACAAAATATTCTTAAACTTAAGCAAATCCAAATAATTTAGTGGCATACTTGTTTGTCTTTGAATGTGTCAGTGTGTACCATAAACATTGATATGGATTTTAATTTTTAAAAACTATATGTTCTTTAGGAACACCTGAGAAATAAAACTACGTTGTTGTAAAGCATTTTTCATTTCTTTTTAAAGATTTTATTTATTTGACAGAGAGAGAGCACAAGTAGGCAGAGCGTCAGGCAGAGGGAAAAGAAGAAGTAAGCTCCCCACTGAGCAGAGATCCTGATATGGGGCTGGATCCTAGGACTCTAGGATCATGACCTGAGCCAAAGGCAATTGCTTAACTAACTGAGTCACCCAGGTGCCCCAGATATTTTTCATTTGAAAGTTTCCATTTGCTTTAGTGCTATGTGAACATGTTTATTCCCACAAAGAGGAATTTTATAATACAGTTTTATTTATTTTTAATGGAGGCATATAAGGTCTGATAGAGAAATCTTATTTTACAACATCCTATTACATTACAGAAATAAAGCCATTGTCACGTATGAGTTTGGGCTTACACACACATGCTCATATACTATTTTACTTATTTTGTCATTACATAAATATTAAGAAAAAAATACATTGTAGAATCTAAAACAAACAAAAAACCCCAAGTGAATAAACAAACAAAAAGCAAAAGTAGATCCATAAATAAAACTGATGATTGCTTGGGAGGAGGTGCAAATTGGGTGAAAGGAAGTGGAAGATACAGGCTTCCACTTATAGAATGACTAAGGTATGAGAATAAAAGGCACAGCACAGGTAATATAGGCAATGATACTGTATACTGTAATAGTGTTGTATGATGACAAATGGTAGCTACACTTATGATCAGCATAGCATAATATTTAGAGAAGTCTAACCCCTATGTTGTACACTTGGAATTAGTGGAACATTATATGTCAGCTATACTCAATGAAAAAAAATGAGGAATAAAGTACATTAAAATAAAAATCTTGATATCTTTATTTAGGTTCTATTTCCAAGCACAAAACTTAGCACATTTCTGTAACTATAAAAATTTTAATGATTTTGGTGGACTGGGAGGCACAGTTGGTTAGGCCTCTACTCTTGGTTTCAGCTGAGGTCATGATCTCAGCACCATTAGATCAAGTTCCACGTTGGGCTCCACACTCGTGGAGAATCTGCTTAGGCCTCTCTTCTTCTCCCTCTGGCCTGGCCTCCCCTCAAATAAATTTTAAAAAAATTAAATAGGGGTGCCTAGATGCCTCAATTGGTTGAGCATCTGGCTTTTGATTCCAGTTGGGGTCATGATGTTGGGGTCCTGGCATTGAGCCAGGGAGTCTGTCTCCCTCTCCCTTTGCCCTTTCCCCTGCTGGCATGCTCTTTCTCTCTAATAAATAAATAAATCTCTTTTAAAAATTAAATGATTTTAATTGAATAAAATTTAGGATATATTGATCAAAAAGGTGTCTGGTAGTAGTTTTTTTAATTTTTTTTAATCTAAATGCCAGTTAGTGAACATACAATATATTGTTAGTTTCATATGTAGAATATAGTGATTCCACACTTCCCTATGTGGTGATCATCACAAGTGCCCTCCTTAATCCCCATCACCTGTTTAACCTATCCCTCCACCCACCTCTCTTCTGGTAACCATCAGTTTGTTCTCTGTAGTTAAGAATCTGTTGCTTGGTTTGCCTCTCTTTCTCTCTCGCTCTCTCTCTTTTACCTTCGATTGTTTGTTTTGGTTCTTAAATTTCACATATGAGAGAAATCACAAGGTATTTGTCTTTTCTTGACTGACTCATTTCACTTCACATATTACTCTCTAGCTCCATCCACATAACGTTGTTATTGTTATTGTTGTTGCTGTTTTTAACTGAGGACTTGCATTAAAATTACCTGCCCCACCATATCTGAATCTCTAGGTTTGCATCTAGCTAATGTACATTTATATACCCCTGAAGAAATTTTGATGTTCTACCCTGGTTATGAACATCTCTGTTTTAAATATTCTGAAAGAGGAACTATTTCAGGTTCATGAAACAATATTATTAAATTTGAGATTTAAAAAAATTACATGTAGACATGATCCATTACTTCCCGGTATAATCTCTAGAGCATATTATTTAATCACCAAGCAACTGAATTAGAAACCAAAAACGAAATTATATAGAAAATACACAAGTATTTTTTCATAGTTCTTACTAAATAACCAATTGTCAAACAGAAATTACAATTCACACTTATAAAAAAGAAGCAAATAAACAATAACATGGTATCAAAAATTATAGAATACTGGGGAGAGGTCATAGAGGAGAATTTAAGCTTTAATGTTTTATATTAGAAAAAAGGCAAAAAAGGGCCAAAAAAATCCAAAATTTTGTTTTTTGAAAAGATTATTAAAGTTGATTAACTCCTAGAAAGACTGATAAGAGAAAATACAGATTACCAATATTAGGGTTGATGCAAATGTTAAAATTACATAGATTTTAAAGGATAATGGGGAATATTAATAAGAATTTTATGGCAATAAATTCAGCAACTTAAGTGAAATAGGTGAGCTCCTTGTTAAACTAATTTAGCAAAACAGACACATTATTAATAAATATGTGATTATTCTCATAGTAATTAAATAAAATGAATCCATTATCAAAAACCTTCTCATAAAGAAGAGTGCAGACTCGGAGTGTTTTACTGAAAAATAGGACAAATACTAACTACACAGATTTTTCAGAAAGAAGAGAAAGAGGAAAGATGTTTTAACTCATATTTGAGACCAATATAAATAACCCTGACACCAAAACTTCTTAAAGACAATACCAGAAATGAGTATTATAGACCAATACTTTGCATTAACACAGACACAAAAATTCCTTAACAACTTGCTAACTAATCTTACTGGACAATATATAGAATGGCAGAGACATCATGGTCATTGAGATTTACTTCCTAGAGTGTAAGATTAGTTTAACATGTGTCAATCAATCTATGTAATCACTTAAAATAACAAAATTCATCTAATCATGTCAAGATATGCAGAAGAACTTTTGAAATAGTAACATTGATTCATAATTCAAAACTCTCAGAAAACTAGGAACAGAAGGCATCTTCCTCAAATGGATAAAATGTCTCCAGACAATACTTACTCCATTTCAAATGAAACTGAAGGAGATACCACATTACTGAGAGTCCTTATCCTTTGAATTTATTATACATTTTAAAATGTACCAGAGATATAGTTAAGGACAAGAGTATTCTGTTAAGTATTCTGTTATAGTTAAGGGCAGGTGTATTTTGTACTAAGTTTAAAATTTTTCAGACTAAGAAGGAAAAAAAAAATCCACAAATGCAGTTAAATGTTTACTCCTTTAAAAGAAAAAACCTTTTCCAGAGGTAATATAAAAATGCATTTTTGTCCGAAAAAATAAAGTCTCCCTACCTCCTACATTAGGATCTCAACTTTTTATTTAGGAAAACATAAACCTGTCTCCCTTTCTTAGTCATGAATTCATGACATTCCACGTGCTAACAATGTGCACCTTCTTAAAGCTCACACAATATGGAATCTAAAACAAAATGCAGGATCAGACCTATAAATACAGAGAACAAACTGATGCTGTCAGAGTGGAGGAGGATTGCGAGGATGAACTAAGTGGGAGAAGGGAAATTGGACACACAGATTTCCAGTTATGGAATAAATAAATCACAGAAAAAAGGCACAGCATAGGAAATATAGTCAGTGATACTGTTATACCATTGTATTGTGGCAGATGGCAGCTACACTTATTGGGGGCAAAGCATAATGTATAAACTTGTTCAATCATTATGTTGTACACCTGAAACTAGTGTTAACATTGGGTGTCAACTATACTCAAATAAAAAAAAATTTAAAGAATAAAAAGGAATCCTGAGATCAAAGAAAAAAATGCTCAGAGATATTAAAATTGATTTTGAAATGATTGGATATTTGGCACTGCACCTGCAGTGAAGGCAGATTCTGTGGCATGTTTTCCATTTCACCTTGGTTGAGATGAAGCATTAGTTTTTATGTTTACATCTATCTATATCTATATATCTATATCTATATTTGCATCTATCAATATCCAGAGGCCTTAATTTAAAAACTAGTTATATTAAGAATGAACAATCTTTTTGACTTGTTGCAGTTTTTTTCTTTTTAGATAATTAAATTAGACAATATTTTCAAAATAGAAAATAATAAAACATGCTGACATGTTTGCTGTTGTCATTAATGAGAAACTTCGAAAATTGAATCTAAATGTATCCTGGTCTAGAAAATTTCTTGACTGTCTGGGAAAGGTAAAGGGAGAGGTGCTATCACCAGCAGAAACAGATTTAGGTGAAAGAGTGGAAAATGCCATCTATTCCCAAAAAGTTAAATGTATTGAATTGCTTATGACATGTAAATTTACATAGAGAGTGAGAACTAGAGTATTCAGATCATGGCTATTTTGGGGTCCTATAAACTTTTCCCAGTGAAAATGAAAGAGAACTAAATTTATTTGTCACTAATCCTGACCTAACCAACCTTGAGAAACACAGGAATTTTCAACCACACCATTAAGTTACATTGTACCAGTTTCCAGTCAATCCATTCTGGCCCTCCCCCACAAAGCCTGTTAAATTACCATGGACAGCCTTGCCTATGTTTGAAATTCATAGAAATTACATCATACAGTAAATGCTTTTGTGTTTCTGGGTCTTTTCAGTATAATTTTTTTATTCATCCATGTTGCGTATATGAATAGTCCATTCCTTTAGGTTGCAGAGCAGTATTCCATTACAGCAGTAGAATACACTGTTTTTTTCCATCCTCCTGTGTATGAACATTTGAATTATTTTAGTTTGGCTTATTGTGAATAAAGCTGCTATACACATTTTGTCCAAGTCCTTTTGCAAACTTGGGTAAGCTATGGTGGAAGTACTAAATCATACATATAACATAGGTGTGTTTAACTTTATTTTTAAAACATCAAGTGGCATTCCAAAGTGGTTGTACCATTTTACACCCACTACCGGTGCTGAACAGTCAGATGCCCTACAGAGTTGTTGACTGTTGGTGTCATTAATCTTTAATTTTAGTTGTTCTAGTAGGTAAAAAGGGTATAAAGGATATCTTTGAATCAGAGGATATATATTGACTATATATAGTAAAAATAACAGTTTATGTGTATGTATGTTTTATATATATATATTTATATATGTATTATATAACATATATTATATATAAATAAACATTTATATATTACTTATATATCACTTATATTATTTATAATATAATACAATATATTTATAATATATAATATATAATATGTTTATATATATTTTATATGTTTATATATAATATATAATATATATATAAAACCTTCCTCAAAAAATTCCCTGAGGGAAAAAAATTAAAAAAAAATTCCCTGAGGAAAGTTTTTAGTTTTCTTATATATGTCCTGTGTATATTTCAATAAACTTATCTCTAAACAGTTTTTTATGTTATTGCGAATTGTATTGTTTTCTTAAATTTATATTTTCTAATTTTTCCAGTTATAGAAATATAATTTCTATAATTAGAACCTGTATCATATATTCTTATTACATTCCTTTAATAGCTCTAAAAAATTCTTTTTGTAGGTGTTACTGGATAATCCACTCAATCATGTCCTCTGTGAATAAAAATAATTTTACTTCTTCCTGTTCCATCTTAATGTTTTATTGCCTTATGGAACAAAATAGGGTCTGGATTACAAGGTTGATTAGAAATAATGAGCATCTTTGCCTTGTTTCTGGCTTATAGAGGAAAGATAGTCAACATTCCACAATGAAGTTTGATTTTAATGGTAAAATGGCTGCAATCATATATGTCAGTGCCACACGATATCCTGTCAGGTGGTTTAGGCTTCTGGATTCTGCATCAGATAAATGGCAAATAATGTCACAAAGCACATGGCAGAAAATTTTCCAGGGGCTGAATGGGGCCTGAGTCACTCCTGTATTTGCTATAGAGGTCTCTCTTTTTAAGGCAAAGGTCAACTGCCACATGGTCATTGTCTTGGTGAGGATGGCTCTATGTGTGTATGTGTAGAATGGTGAGATTTGCTGTCTTTTTCTAACATATTCTAGAGCAGTGTTTCTCAACCTGGGTTTATTAAGAATCCCTTCCCCCTGTAGACATTTGCATTATCTAAGATACTTTTATCACAATTGTGTGTGTGTGTGTGTGTGTGTGTGTGTGTGTGTCTGAGGGTGGTGGTGATGGTGTACACACATGCACATGCTGACAGTGGCATCTAGTGGGTAGAGACCAGAGATTCTGCTGACAACTAACAAAGCAGAGGCCCTCCCGGTCCTCAACTCCAGTAAGGAGTTATTCTTCCTTAAAAGGTCAATAGTGTTAAGGTTCAGAAACTTTATTCTATATCAAGGTTTCCTAGGCAAGGTAGTAAGAGAGGACCTTGTTAATGCTACTCAGGGGCCCCCCAAAATAAAAATGTACAATGGATATGAGATCCAGAGGCTAACACAGGAAGTTTCAATAGTTCAGATTTTTAGATAGCCCTATGTTTGTAAATAACTCTCCCACTTCCTTCAGAGACCTTAGATCTACCCATTCACTATTAGAAATGGAAGGATTAAGTTGACTGACAACCTGTGTTGGAGGAAAAGGCAAGAAGTATTTCACCTCTTAAAGTGAAACACTTAAATGGAGTTTTTGAGATTTGGGTGAAAAGGGTTTTAAAGAAGAGTAAGTGGGGAGGTGGAAAACTGAACTCAAAGAGGAAAATTTATCAAGTAGAAGTTGATAGCCATGACACAGAAACTTAAGTCTAAAATTAAGGTCCTGTCATAGAATTCAGAGGGAAAACAAAGTAGGAAATTATTTTTTGCATCTCAACTTCTCTATTAAGTGACCTGGAAGTTGCCACTTGAATCTAAATAACTATGAGGATTTTCATTAAATTTTTGTGTATCCTTGAGGCCATTTGATATGAATTTAAACAGTTTCTTTCTATGATAACATGAGAGTTTTAGGATTTTACCAGAAAACAATGTAAAGTAATAGTCATAAAACCAAAAATAAGTTTTTAGTGAAGTTCTCTGAAAGCCATGCAATGCTCATGATAATAGTAATGCCATTAATATTTTATTGTGCTTAAACATTTTAAAGTAATTAGCATATAGTGAAATTCTGTCCTGCTATGTGCCAGAGTACAGATTGTTTTGTAATCATCAGGAAGTCTCTCAGCCTTTAATCATTACAAATACATTGAATCCTTTTACTGATGATTGTCCCTTAAAGTACTGATTGCATTTTAATGAAGTAGGCACCAGTGCCAATTAAAGCCCATTTTGTTTATTTTTGAGATTTGTGTTTTATCTTTCCTTTAAAAGTACTGCCAAGAAAATCCAGTTACAGTTTCCTTTCTATTTCACAGTTCTGTGCCTTCATCTTCGTTCTAAACCTACATGGTAAAAAGGCTTATGTAATTGAAGATCTTCTTTCCCTACCTCATTTTAACATGACATGAATTAAGCATAAGGAAACCACTATCAATCCAACTTCCTTTGTCTGGATAATCTGCTTTACATTGCAAAGTACTTTTGCATGCTCAGTATTTCTCAAGAGGAAATTATTGCCAGAGGTTTAGTGCCCTTGACCCACACCCTCTCAAGGTCAGTAGACTCCTCAGTCACTGTGACATTTACAAAAAACAAAACAAAACAAAACAAAACAAAACAAAAAACAACAACAACAACAAAAAAAAAAAACAAAAAATTCCCATCAATTTCCAGATGGCCTCTAAGGAGGTGGTATTTCTCTGAATGAGAACCATGAATTATTTTATTCTGTGTATTAGAAAATACAGTATGATAAAGATAAATGAAGTAAGAATCACATTGATAAAGACTTATCCAAAGCTAAGTATTTATTTTACTGAAGTGAATGAACTAGTTAAGTCTTAGATCAAAACAATCTATGACGTTGTTGGAGAATGTATGTGTCTGCTAAACACACACTCTCTTGCTTATAACAAATACTAATATAACAAACATCTCTTTACACTAAAGAGGTTGAATAGAAAGCTAACTGTAACATTTCAGCTATTTTAAAACATACAATTTGACCAGAGGACTTACAATCGTGGTACAGACATTTCCCCCACCTCTGATTTGCCAGGACTCAAGCACTGTAAGTTCAAATTAGTGATGTTGAGAGATGACATCATAAAGAGGTCATGCACACTGGCAGTTAAAGGGGAAAACAAGAGGAATCAATTTTACATTCTCTAATATTCAGTCTAAGATTTGTGTTTTCTTTCATTCATTATTCCTGACAAAATAAAACAGGTGGCTTCAAAATAATCAGTTGGTTTTTCATCTTAATAAAAATCTTGTCTGAATTTTTTATGTACTTATAATTTATTGACTGATATAAGAAAAGGATAAATCTAAGCACCTATGATAGTCATGTGTCTTTTGTTAAATCCTTTGCTTAATTTTGTGCCTTTACCTTTTCCCATTTTAAGCACATGTGTTTCTCATAAGATACCAAATTTTACAGAAGGCTAGATGCTTATTAAAATTGTCAACTTACTGATAGATCGGAGTTGGATAATTTTTACTACACCCAGCACTCCAAGCCACTAACGGATGAATGAAAATAACTATATAGAGTAATATTTGAACACATTGCCATTATCTAGCTCCTTTTAGGGAATTTCAGCTGATTTTTTTTCTCTTAAGGAATAGTTTCATTAAATTTCAGCTACTGCAGAGATCAACTACTAAAATCTCAGTGGTTTTAACTCAGTGAAAGTTTATTGTTCCTTCCCATTTAAACAGTGAAAATTTCTATCTCGTGTCTCAGACCATGGTAAGTTCTAGAGTGGTTGGGTAGGAGGTTTCCATAAGGTGATTTAGTAATTCGGGTTTCTCTGATTTGCTTCGTTATCCACTAACATAACACTATTAATGCTGATGTTTTCCTGCCAAGTGATGACTGAGCAAACAATGTATGATTTCTAAATCCACAATATTTTGTTTAAGATTTTATATGTACCTCGTTTATAAAAATATATGTACCCAATGCATTTCCTCTATCAGTATGTAGTTAAGATCCAAATCATGACTAGACACCCAGCAATGCTTGCCTTCTGCACCATGATTTCTTGCGTTAATCTCTCATTGTCATTCTTAACTAAATGTGTGTGATCTATTAGGATCTCAGAGAGCTAATGATCTTTTTATAATAAGCTTGTGTTAGTTTTCTATTGCTATATAGCAAATTACCACAAACTTGGAATTATAAAACAAAACACATTTATAATCTCATAATTCTGCAGTTCAGAAATCCCAGGCAAGTTCAACTGATTCCTCTGCTCAGTGTCTCATAGGCTGAAGTCAATTTGTTGACTATTCTCTCACCTGTAGGCCCTGAGATAATCTATTTCCAAGCGACATTCTGGTTGGCAGAACTCAGTTCCTTGTGGCTCCTAGAAGCTGCTGACATTCCTTCTGACATGACAGCTTCCATCATCAATCCAGGAATGTTTCAAGTCCTTCTCATAGTTCACGTCTGTGTTCTTTTTCTGCCTTCCTCCCCTGTCACCAGATACAGAAAATTTTGTCTTCCAAAAAAAACTCAGCTGGATAGATTAGGCCCATGTAGATATTCTCCATTTTAAGGCCACCCATACCTCATAAAATAGCATCTATTCTCAAAAGGGAAGGTTGTTGGGGGTCATTCTTCACTTCTTGCCTACCATAAAGCCAAAATTAGACTAAAACCTTACTTTGAGGCTTATGAAAAATATATCAACTTCATATGTATTTTTTATGTCCTAAGATTGTGACAATGTCTATTCAGCAGCACTAATACATACAAGCATTTTGTTGTTTTTTTTAAAAGACCATTCCTTTTAAAAAGCATGTCTTCAAATATTATAATTAGGAACTATATATTTGTGAAATGAAAAAAGTATAATGTATAGAATATATTTTAAGTATTTCACAGGTCATGAAATAATTTGTGTATATTAACTCATTTATTTCTTAAAATAACACAGCATAAAATAGGAACAGTTTTCCTGATTAATATTATTTTCCTAATAATAATTAGGAACACTTGTGAAATGGCAGGTCTAGGGAAAACAACTAGAACAACATATAACAAACACATAACATACCAAAGAAGAAAAATTAGAATTGTAACAAAATTTTTACTAAAAAACTACATAAGACCTAGATGTATTAAAAGTAAAGGTAGAAAACTTATATAACATATGGTAATAATAATACTTAGAAGGTGGAATGACTATATTAACATTCTACAAAGTATCAAACTAAGAAATATAACCGAGGATTAAGAAGAACATTACATAAAGATAAAAGACTCAATTCATCAAGAAGATATAATATTCTTAAATATTTTTTAACCTAAAACCAGAATTTACAGTACACAAAGCAAAGGAACTGAAAGGAGAAACAGATCTAGAATTATAGTTGGACCCTATTTTTCTTTTTAAAAATATCCAGTATAATTAACATAGAGTAATACAGTTTCAAGTGTATAATATGGTGATTCAACAATTCTATACAGTACCAGTGCTCATCACAATAGGTATGTTTTTTTCTTAAAAATTTTATTTATTTATTAATTCATGAAAGACACAGAGAGAAGGCCGAGATATTAGCAGAGGGAGAAGCAGGCTCCCATAGGGAGCCTGATATGGAACTCGATCCCAGAACCCCGGGATCACACCCTGAGCCAAAGGCAGACACATAACCACTGGCATCCTTGGTATGCATTTTTTAAAGATTTTATTTATTTATTTGAGAGAGAGAGAGCATAAAGAGGTGGGGTAGGGGCAGAAGAACAAGCAGATTCCCAGTTGAGTACAGACCTCAATGTGGGACTTGATCCCAGGACCCTGAGATCATGACCTGAGCTGAAGTCAGACACGTAACTGACCGGGCCACCCCAGGTGCCCCATGATAGGTATACTCTTAATCCCCTTCATCTATTTAACACATTGCCCTTCACTACTCCTCTCAGGTAACCACCAGTGCATTCTCTACACTAAGAGTCTGGTTTTTTGGGTTGTCTCTTTTTTCTTTATTTTATTTCTTAAATTCCATATATGAGTGCAATTATATGATATTTCTCTTTCTCTGACATATTTCACTTAGCATTATACCCTGTAGATCCATCCATGTTGTTGCAAATGGCAAGATTTCATTCTTTTTATGACTAATATTCCATTGGGTGTGTATATCAAATATATATATTAACACCAAATCTTCTTAATCCATTTATCTACTAGTGAACACTTAGGTCGTTTTCATACTTTGACTATTGTGAATAATTGTGTAATAAACATATGGATGCATATATCTTTTGGAATTAGTGTTTTTCATTTTCATTGGGTAATTCCACAATTGGAATTTCCAATGAAAATGGGTAAAATTACCAAGTGTCTAGTGGAATTACCAGACAGTTGGTGATTCCATTTTTAATACTGTTTTCCACAGTGGCTGCACCAATTTGCATTATTACTAACAGTGCATGAGGGCTCCTTTTTCACGACATCCTTGTCAACACTTGTTTCTTCTGTTTTTGATTTTAGCCATTCTTACTAGCAAAGTGATGTATCGCTCATTGAGGTTCTGATTTGCATTTCTCTGATGATGAGTGATGTTGAGCATGTTTTCATGTGTTTGATGGCCATATGTATGTCTTTTCTGGAGAAATGTTTGCTCGTGTCTTCTGCCCAGTTTTTTAAATTGGATTATTTGTTTTTGGTATTGAGTTGTAAAAGTTCTCCATGTGTTTTGGATACTAACCCTTTGTCAGATATGTCACAAATATTTTCTCAATATTCAATAGGTTTTTTTTGTTTTTATTTTTTTGTTTTGTTTTTTTGATTGTTTATTTTGCCACGTAGAAACTTTTTCTTTCGATGTAGTCCCATTATTCTTGCGTTTGTATCCCTTGCCTCAGAAGACATGATCTAAAAAAAAAAAAAGGTTGTCAATGTTATAAAAATTACTGCCTGTGCTCTCTTCTAGGATTTTTTATGATTTCAAGTCTCACATTTAGGTCTTTCATCCATTTTGAGGGCAGTCCGGGTGGCTCAGCAGTTTAGCATGTGCCTTTGGCCCGGGGCGTGATCCTGGAGTCCTGGGATCGAGTCCCACTCGGACTCCCTGCATGGAGCCTGCTTCTCCCTCTGCCTCTGTGTCTGCCTCTGTGTGTGTGTGTGTGTGTGTCTCATGAATAAATAAATAAAATCTTTAAAAAAATATTATCCGTTTTGACTTTATTTTTGTGTATAGTGTAAGAAAGTAGTCCAATTTCATTCATTTGAATGTAGCTGTCCAGTTTGTCCAGTTTTCTCAACATCATTTATTAAAGAGTGTCATTTTCCCATTGGATGTTCTTCCATGCATTGTTGAAGATTAATTGACCATATAATTGTAGATATATTTCTGGACTCTATTCTGTTCTATTGATTTATGTGTCTTTCAGAGTGCCAGTTATCATACTGTTTTGATTACTACAGCTTTGTAGGCTATCTTGAGATCTGGGATGGTGATACCTCAATCTTTGTACTTCTTTTTCAAGATTGATTATTTGGGGTCTTTTGTAGTTTCATACAAATTTTAAGATTATTTGTTCTAGTTATGTGAAAAATGCTGTTGGTATTTTGATAGGGATTGCATTATATCTGTAGATTGCTTGGGTAGTATGGACATTTACAATATTTGTTCTCCCAATCTATGAGCGAGGAATATCATCCCATTTGTTTGTATCACCTTCAGTTTCTTTCATCAGTGTTTTGTAGTTTTCAGAGTGTTCCTTTCAGCTCCTCATTAACTATATTCCTAGATATGTTATTATTTTGGTGAATTTGTAAATGGGATTGTTTTCTTAAATTCTGTTTCTGTTACTTCCTTATTAAATGCAACAGATTTCTGCATATTGATTTGGTATTCCACAACCATACTGATGAATACCAATAATACCAGTAATACCAATTACTTATTGATAATTTCTGATAATTTTTGGTGGAGTCTTTGAGGGCTTTTTATATATAATGTTATGTCATCTGCAAATAATGAAAATTTTAGTTTTTCCTCACCTATTTGGGTGCCA